ACTTCAAGATATATTTAGGATGCTTTCATTATTCATTGTGTTACGCAATCAGTGAAAACAAATCTTTCCAGGAAAACAAATTGCTTCCTCTATTATAGTGCATATTGATTAAATACATGATTTAGAAAATTAAATGGGCAATGAAACAATAAATAGCTATTTTCTGGGATGAAATATTTTCAATAGGCAAAGTTACTCTATCTTGACTTAAATGTAGTTACAATTCTCTAAGATAACATTTACATTTTACTTAAACTACAACATGACACTAATTAAGATATTTATAATTGAGATAATTAAGATATTTAAAATTCATGACTTATGAAAAGTGACTACACACCTAAGTATAACGCACAGAATTGGAGCCAGTTGTGACAATCGATACTTAGGAAGTAGATGCAATAGCAGCATGTGGTCCTTTTTATGCTTGTCACCTTGAAATATTGCGTAAAGATTACTCTGCAGCCTCAATCTATAGGACCTGATTCTCCACTCAGTGCCCTATTGATGACAGTGTTTTGGAAATCAGTAAAGTTACACAGCCAGAAAATAGGTAAAACGCATCACCCACACTCCCTGAAGGGACCTCACCTCACCAGTGGGAAGTGAATACATTTGTCAATCCAACTCCCTTTATGTCCACTAAAAGCATTGCTTTTAACTGGAAGGAAGTCTTGCCAAACTTTTGTCACATCTTCGTAAACCTCTCTAGAAACTCTTTCAGAAAGATATTTAATGTAAGAGGTTAAAAACCCATACACATTAATATTGAATAGCATTTAAATAAAGTTGGTAGTTTTCTTTAAATGTGAAGATAAAATGTGTTCAAATTTTCTAATTAAAAGTAGGAAGTTTCTGAGTGAGAAAAATTAAGTGCCTATAGTTAATTATACGTGAGAAAAATTGTTATTTTGCCTTAAAACATAGATGATCATGTCACATTACCAGGAATGCAGTTCAGTCTACTTGCTCAGGTATCTGAGGAACAGAGATATGCCGTAGAAGTAACACTAAAATTAGATAGTGCAGCCCACATCAGAAAAACTAAAATAGTTTTAAGCAAAAATAAAAATAAATATAGAGATGTAGAATGAGATTAAGCTTTACATTTTGAAAGACTATGAGAAATTACACAATAGATGTAGCACACACAATTTCTTTATAGTGAAAACAAAACAGAAATAAGAATAAAGCTCTATTTCTCATGAAATTATTTCAGATTCTTCCTAAGAAGTCCTGCCAAAAAAAAAAAAAAAAAAAAAAAAAAAACTCTTCCACAAAATCTGTTAAAATTGTACTATAACTCTTGTAAGTATAGAAACACTAATTAAGAGGCATTCTAACTATGCTAAAAAGCTTTTTGTAATTTCCAGAAGCAGTTACTTCACTAGCACAGAGACCTTTTAATGAATCTGGGTACTGGAGAACTCTGTTTTTGAAGTAATAGGAAGCCTTTTTTGTGAAAATATAAAGATTTGACTAGGCACCATTTTATCATTACAAAATATTAGCGGTACTTTTGTGTAGTTCTCCAGCATGTTAAACAATATTTTAAGTTTATGTGGTATAGAAAACACTTCACTATGGGTTTTCTGTTGCCTGTTTACAGCAAGCTCAATTGATGAGGGGACCTAAGAAGATCTCTCCAAGCTGAAATAATCAAAATATCAATTTTTAACCTTATGCACAATTTGAAAAGATTACTTAAATGGAAACTCATAGTTCAAGCATCTGACTGATGAAGTTCTATCCACTGTTAACCAAATTCAGCCTAAAGCAGTGCTAGACATGATGAACAACTTGAAAAATTAAAATGACTTTTGAATGGGAAATTCATCTTCTTTAATATCTTTCTCTCTATATATATATAAATATAGAGAGAGATAGTAAGAGCCTGACATGATGAAGTTAGCAGAAACAAACATTTAACAGCTATAATCATTAACCACAATAACTTGTTCATGCTTTTCAGGAGGACAGAGTATCCACTGTGCAGTAGAAGTAGTTCACAGCAAGTACGTTGAAAATACTTCAGAACGCGATACACACAGAAAGAAGCCATGTCCACTTACACAAAACATCATGCATTACTTCTGGATTTTTTTTTCCTCTGTAAGACTCCAGCCAGCATAGCAACATACACGCATGGGAGACCAAATGCCCCACGTCCCTTGATTTGAACAGCAGTGGTACACTCTGCATCCTGAAGTGGATTCAGAGGTTCAACGGTTCAGAGATCCGAGTGCTTTGTGAATTATGGGTTCCATCCAACAAAGCACAGCCACTTCACATGCTGTTTAGAGATGCACCACAGTGATACATATACCTTGCCAAAGGGAGAATTACATAGCAACATCTTTTACAGCTAAAGAATCTCAGCCAAAAATTTAGGCTTACAGCAAACTGGCATCCTATTTCCTTGTGATACTTTCACTAACTGATTTAACTGTCTAAAATATATTTACTAAAAATTGTGTTATTAAACAAGACATAGGGTGGCTCTTTATATACTCTCAAGGATGTCTCTCTTGAATACAGAGATCTTTATGCATCTCTTGCCTATTTGGCTTCAAAAACAAAAGATTTTGTTTGATTTTAAGAAATACAGTTACATGACATATACCCTTATCTCTGTCACACAGAAAGGATCACAAACAGGTTGTAGTTGAGCTCGCACTATAACCTCCCACCTCATGTGCCACACCAGGGAATTGTTTGTCATTGTCACCTTTGCCCTCCTTTGAGTACAACAGGAGATCAACGCTGGCAAACCACAGGGAGTCTTCTGCTGTGATCACCTGTCTTAAAAATGTTTTTAGTCAGACACATGAAAGAAGTGGAATGGATGAAAACCAGCTTGATCTCTTCAGTACCCACAGGGAGACCAAGAAGCTACATGCCTCAATGCACAGGCAGCACCACAGCATGGATGCTGCCATGAATCTGCACAGTTGCTGGCACAGACTCTAATTCTGATGCAGTGTTCCAATGTTATCTGGAACAAATGAAACAGATTTGATTTGAGTTGCCTAAGTAATCTTTTCCCTCATATTTCATCAGAGCAAAGAATGTAACTCATTTTTACTCTTGATGCTATCCTACTAACTGAAAGGATAAAATATTGCATAGGATTCAGTGCCAGTTTTGATGAGGCAGAAGGATTCAAGTTTCTTTTCACTGTAATTGAAAATAAGTTGCTTCGTTTGGAATGTTGAAAATATACCAGTGATCTGATAGAATCTGTTCCTTGTGATAGAAAAATACACCCTTGTCAAAACTGGAAATTTCTCACTAATTCACTTATTCCAATTAAATTTTAGGGCAGGAGGCTCTCCATGCCTCTGCTTCACACATCATAGAAACCCAAATCAACTTTCTGATACAATTCACAGATCACTTGTAAGTTCTAACTTCTCTGTATAACAACAAAAAAAAAAAAAAGTGGAAAGCAATGAAAGTGATCCAAACGTGGAATATCGCCAACCTGCTCAACATTTCAAATTTCATGGAGTGATACAAGTTTTGAAAAATTCTAAGTACGTTGGCCTCCTTTCACACTAGGGTAATTGTTTTGTTTCAAAGATTTTCACAGAATATGCCTTTATTTCCTTCTAAACAAAGAACTTATATTTCAAAACACTGATTAACAACTCACATTAAACAATTAAACACCACTGTACCGCGAAGCAATTCTATGTTTTTATCCTGTAGACTTATCACACGCATCATTTCTTGAGCTTCACTGATCTGAGTGAGCAAGACTGCCTGAGCGTTATGATAGAATCACAACAAATAACAAGCAGGGAGTATCATCACCTGAGCACCAGTACTGTGGCAATCACCATACTAAGCTGTAATGAGGATATATCACAGAAGATGTTTTCATAAATGGAAGTTTATGGATATTGCAGAATTTGAAGTTCTATGGCAACATTACCAAGTGTAAATGCACTTTGTTCATGTGCTGTTACAATATTTATATTCTCTGTCTTCCCACAAATCCTCAAAGTCTGTTATCACCCACACCATCCGTGGGCTGGGGCCTGATGCTAACTCAGTGGGCAGTAGCCCCACTGTACATCAGCTATGCTGGCTTTTCCTTGAAAGACACTTACTGAAGTCCTGCTACTTTTTATAGTTCAACTTAGATCACACTGCTTTATAATTCAGGTAGTAAAACCAAATCCTTTTGTTTACTCTAAGATGTGTTTTACGGGCCATACTTAAAGACAACACTCACTTTTATTGAAAACATTCAGGCTGCAAGTTTTACTCTGCCTGAACAAAAAGGAAAATAACATTTTCAGAGTGCTGAAATAGAAGCTCTTTTCCTACCTAGAAAAGAAGTGCCATTCCGCCACACAATAAGGACTTGGTATTTCAGTGTTTAAGTTTTCCTCAGTGTAAATGTACAATATATCCCCTTCCTAATGTTCAGTACAGTGGGCTTTTAATGTGTTTTCTCAGTGTGTGTATGTTTTTGTAGAACTCAATTCTTATTCAAGCCCTCTGCACACAAATGAGTTAAGAAATCTGTAAGAATTCATCACTTAGAATAGAGGACCTGACTTGCTCAGCTTCTTTCATGGTATCCAGCTTCAAGGATAGTTATCACTAGAAGGAGTTAGGGGGGAAAAAGGAAAGAAAAAAAAACAAAAACAATGGACTATTATCACATATTTTCTTCTTCAGAGCACTTCAGCCAATCTGTCTTAGATCCTAGACAGTTTGATCCACAGCCTACTGCAGGTCAACTCAACATTTAATGAGATTTGCAAGGGAAACGTCCTAGCTTTGCCTCTGCTGGCCCATTCAGGCACAGCTGGGCCCACAAAGCCTAGCTACATCTAGCCCCGGGAATCCAGTGCCTTGTACTTCTAGTGCCATCCACTTCTCTGCCAACAACAATCCAGTTAAGCAAAGTCTAAATGCCTTCTGCTATTTCTGGCACAGTAAAGGACTGAGAGGCACTGCTTCATCCATCTGCATTTTCAGCACTTACCAGCTTGTTCTTTGTTCTGTGTTAAGCATCAGATTTCCCTATAAGAGAAGCAGAAATATCCACATAGCCACAGAAATCCTTTTAGATTAGGGAAAGTAGAACAAAGAGTGGAACAATGCAAATCCTAAGAAGAATCACGCTGAGCCATGTCTCCCACAGTTGTCTACGCTGAGCTGATCAGAGTGACTCAAGTTCACTGACAGCGGGAGAATTACCACGCAAAGCTTTATAAAACATAGAAACTTAACAATTACAGTAATTAATAAATCCATCACCCCTACTTATACATCATACCTATTGAGCAATGAGGTATTTGATGAAGACATTGCCACTGCCAGAAAGATCATCTACCTGAAATAAAGCATTAAGAGAATTCATATGATGTGACAAAAACCAAGGCTTGTCTAGCACTGACGTTGCTTTGTTTAACTCAATGTACATAACTTCATTGTATTTACTACCACATTTGAGCTCCAGATCTTGTTCCTAGTATTTTGGAGTGACTGATCAGGAACCTTCTTCTCACATTCATAGCATTAATGTATTTTGCAAAACACAATTTGCCAAAACACAGACTTCCCTTCAAAATACTGGTATAGAGTCACTTACAAAAATTAGTCATCTTTGTCCGAAGTTAGTAAAACTTATCACAGGTTCAAAATTAAATACGCAGCATTATTCTAGTAATCTGAATATGAAAACAGAGATCTTCAGAAACTGAGTACCCCAGGCTCTACCTGGAATACAAATGAGCTAATATTGAATATCTCTACGTATCTAGAAATCACACACATGCAGTGTGTGTTGTGTGCTTGTTGAGTATATACAAACAGAGCATACAATTGGGGTAGAGAAAATTCAATCTGCAAACTGCTTTTATACAGAAGTATAATTTATTGCTGCTTTCCATGTATTAAACCATTTCCGTGATGCTTTGGAGCATAAAAGGAGCCTCATGCGGACATGGTAGAGCCAAAATCCATTCAATGACTTCACTCCTCTGTCATCTCTCTTTTCATTGGTATTCACTAACACGCAGAGAATGTATCCAAGCAAAGGGGCTTACTGTTAATTGCACCGTCTTCATTAATACTGAATTCTGCATCTGTTGGCTCCAACAATTGGTAACACAAAAGATGCCAAAAGCTTACAAAAACATATATATAGATATTTGGTTCAATATTCTTCATGAATATATTAGTAGTAGTATCTGCTTCAATAGACCAAGATGAAAAGGGTGGCTTATTAGCTGTTCACCAGGAATAAAAGGGAAATAGTCTCAGTTTTTCACTCAAACCTATTCACATCATTTGTATGCCCTTTAGATAATTAGGCTTCATTTCAGAATGAGTAATCCTCACTGTGGTGCAAATGTATCTAGCTGTAATCAGAGCTATCCACACCACTTACATTTGTGGAAAGAACCATGGCTACTTCAAACTCAGAAGAATTCTAGACAATAAATACCGAAACAAATCCAAAAGGGATCTCTTTGCTCCAAGACTACAACTTACACCAACTTAACTTGAAACTGCTTAGAAATGCCTAACTAAACATCTGATTTCAGGATGATGTTCTGCAGGCATGACATGAAAGTGTGCCCACATTCCTGCATACATTACAATGAAAGCAATAATTTTGGATTGTGCTGTTTTCACCAAGGGCAACAAACCAAGATGAAGGCAGGTATTCTAGCACCTGCTATCACACAACATCCCTGAGTTGTGCCACCCATATATCAATTGATACACATCACACATACTTCAGTCTGCAAAGGATGATTTTCACGACTCTGTTACTTGCTTTGTGGTAGGATTCATTTTAATGAGCACAAACTGGCAAGCTCCTTACCAGCATGCTGCTCAAATGGCTACCCACTCTCCACCTCAGAGCAAGGCCTTATGTTTTAAGCAATAGACATCTGCAATCAGGACAAATACTTGGAGATAATGCTGAATCTCTTTTATACTTTCCATCTCCCTCCACTTCTCCTGGAGATGGAAAAAGTTAGTGCTGGAGCTCTGACGAACAGATTATTATAAATATTTATGTTGAATGAAGTACAACAGCCACGAAGAATCAAGCAAGTAAATATTCAACTAAATACACTATTCTTCATTCAGCTTTGATTCTGCAACTGTCTCAAAACAGAGTTTTCTGCTCTCAAAAATGAAAATTCTCCCAGAGTTATAAACACATTTTTGAATTTCAAACATTTCTTCCATTTTTTTCTTAGTGAGTAATACATTTTAAATGCCATTGAGTGAAGCATCTCATTGAGTTCTTCTTACATGGAACTGAAATCCTATACTGATATCCTGCTACCCTGGGCAATTTTGTTGTAACTACAGCTGGTAATATTCAGAAATTAATAGCTCAAAATGTACGCCCCAAGAAACCTATCAACCTATTTTTTAATCTTGGAATTGAAATTCAAACACTTTCCACCACACAAGTGAGTCTGTCTGAAGGTAGATTTTTTTTCCTCTTTCATGGACATCAATATCATCATCCAGCTTTGGTCCAAATTGATAATTTAGTCTTCTGATCACCATGAACTACTGAGCAACTTCAAGAAGCCATTTTTTTTATGCAAACAAGGCTTTAACAGTGGAACTGTAATATTCCAGAAATAAACATGCTGTGATAATTCCATTTAAACATTTACATAAGGAAAACTCCAGCTTCATCAGAGACCATGATATTTGAAAAAACATTCAAAGCTCCTTGGCCAATAATGGGCTACTGCTACCCTACGACAGTCTATGACAAGTGACACTGTCTTTCTTTGCAGATAAGGTACCAACGTAACTTGGCAGTAACTTGTGTCCCAGCGCCCAATTTATTCTTCTGATCTTACAGACTCGATAGCCAAACTAAGCACAGAGCAACCAATTTCCCCAAGTACACAGGCAAACAGAGAGGAAGACAATAGTTTCCCCATACCTAAGCAGGAAGGATCAAATATTGAGATAACACTAACTGAAGGCAACTCTTAAAATGCTTTGAAATCTCAAGTGTTACTTGCAGGTGTGAAGGTACAGCTTTTTATTCCTGAGTCAACTGCTGACCCACACAAAAAATACTGAAATCAATAATGCAGAACAAAGTTGTAACAATCATGAATGCATTTGAAGCAAACCATACTTACGTTTCAAGAGCCATACTTTGCAATCCTGACAGAAAGAAATTATTACAGAGATCTCAAGGAAAGGAAATAAACGGATTTACAAATATTTAAGAACCAAACATGCAACTATTACTGGAAAATCTCAAAACCACAATTCTGGCAACCCTGTCTGCAGCAGGGGTTGGAACTAAAGGATTTTTGAGATCCCTTCCAACCCAAGCTGTTCTATGACTCTATGCAAACTGACAACATGAGAAACATTTGTTTAAAAACAAATTGAGGTACTGAAGAAGTACCTGTGTAAAATGAAGTCAAGATCATTCTGATTTGGTCAGTCTTTGCTATGGTGCTGCAGTTTCATATTACATATAATCTCAAGGTCTATACAAAGATTAAAGAAAACCACCTAATGTGTGACTACCAGAGACTACAGTAGCAACAGAAACACTGTGAACAGCAGTGCACATTTTTGTTGTCTAAATACCTGCACGTTGCATGACACACTAAATTTGATATGCTAGACTAATAATGGAAATTTATTTTCTATAAAAAAGCCATCAATTATGGTGACTAAAAATATGTACAGAATGGGGAGGGAAAGCAACGGTGAAACATGGTTACTTGATTCCATGCACAGGTTTAGCAGCTGCCAAAAACAAGCATACTCTTCAAAGTCTGCAGTACAAAAGGCTTCCACGAAGCCTTTGAATGCTTTATTTTAGTGGTCAACATCAATGAAACCAACAGATGCCTAGCTACCTATGCAGTATAAAGTAAAAACCCTCAAACAACCTATTTCAAGAGCAATGAAAACATTTTCAGTACCTCAACTAGCAAACCACACAAAAATTAAAATGAAAAAAACTACACATAACTGGACTGTGAGCTTATGTAAGAGAATATAACAAAAATAATGATGCAAGCTCTTTTCCCAGGAAAAATAAAATGTTTTAGCAAGGCTCATCCACAACATATTATTCACAGTACTACTATTCTTAAAGACTCCAACCATCACCTACTAAGGCAGTGTACAAGTGCGTAGCTGACTGGTGGATGAAAAGAAATATTAAAAAGTATAAAGTTTTCTCTCAGTAAAAAGTCATTTTATCCTAGAAATCCCTAAAAATATCAAACTCTTCCAGCACATCTACCCATTTTTATAGAAAAAAACCTTTCAAGCTGAAAAAACTCTAGCCTAAAAAGCATGTAATTTGCTATCATAGTCTTACAAGGACACCTACAACATAGGCAAACACACAGGACCAAAAGAATGAAAATCAAATTTGTTTAAAAAAAAATCTAGCCATCTGAGCTCTTCCCCCTCCATCAGCTTGATGGGAGAATGCCTGAAAACTCACACACTGAAAGAATAACCATCTTCATGAAAGTTTGTGTCTTAGGTTTCTCCCTAAAGTCTGCTTCCAGGGCAAAAATAGGGCCTCTGTGTTAACTGATAGTTTTGCAAAGGCAAATAGAAGTTTTCTTTTAAGGTTGGTCACTTTTGAAAAGAACAAAATATTTCACAAAAGACCTCAAAATCTAGTTCATATTCTCTACTTATTTGTGTTTAATACTGAAATAAACTTCTCTCCCATTAAAACTCAAATAAAACTGTATTAAGTGAATAAACAGTACAACTGACTTTTAGTTCAGAAGAAACACTTAGAAAGTGACAAAATAGTGCAGAACAGCTACAGATACAAAGGTTTCTGGTAATAAATAATACAGCAATGTTTTAAGTTTGGGGTGTTGTGTGCATTTCCACACAAATGGCCGAGAACTCATGACTGCTTTGGTGAAATCAATGGGACTTCTGAGCTAAATTGGTTCTTGTGTAAATCCTGATTATGTCTTCATTCTTAGAGCCTATCCATTTAATTCTCTTCACACCATGTCTTTACTGTCTCAGATTTGCTGACAATTTGCTGCTTTGTTCTGGTTTTAAAAGACTCTGAAGTTGGAACAAGAACTAATTTTAACATTGGCAGTGAAAGAGGTCAAAGTTTTCAACTGGAAGGTATCCAAGACGTGGAGGGATCAGGTTCTAGCTAAAGAGACCAGAATTAAATGCTTGACCTTTTAAAAATGGAAAATGGGCAACTTCTGTACAATTCTGCTGTGCAGCATTATCAAAACGTTCCAGTTTTGTTCTTAGGTGGGCAAAAAGTCAAAGTTTGAAACCTCAGAAAACTGATAAGAAATAACTGTTCTCTCTAG